AGTAGAAGTCTTACAAAGGAAATCTAAATTGAACAAATAAAGGTTCTAGTGAACTTTAAAATATTGAAATATATAAATATTTGAGATAAAAGTTTCTATAATATTGAGTTGTTTAAAAAAGATAAAGTTTATGAGAACCTATCTTTTTTAAAGCTATATTATTTTACTATAACTATTTTTATAGTTGTCATATTTTGATTTGACTACTTAATATTTTGAATACTATTACAGCTATTCCTTCATTCAAAAGATGTTTTTAGGGTTCTTGAGAAGATGGGAAGTAAGGAAAATAAAATATCTATGATTAAGAGTTGTAATGCAAAGGAATGTGAGAATGTTAACATTTCACTACCATAATCTTTATATTACACTTTTGGTCCTCATTACCCATTTGGGAATGTAAAAATCATTATCATGATTGATAAAAATGCTTTTGTTACTTCTGAAATAACAATCTAGAGTAAAAGAAATGAAGAAATGAACAGCACGGTGGAAAAGCACTAAGAAATCTACTTCCATGACATTTAAAATTTACATATTAATTTATATCAAAAACTCTATTGCCTGCCTATATTGCAGTCCTCCCATATGAAAAGATTAAGGTATATTTTTGCAATGAATCCTCAATAAGAGTTTTTGGGAGTTTTTTGTGAATAATAATAAAAGAAATCAAAATCTTTTGAAAGACTCACATTAAAGAATCAACTTTATCTACATTTCCAAGAATAAAAGGCAATCTCATATGAGAGAATAGCAGCATGCCAATGTGCCTTGCCACTATAATGTGGTCTATATTTGTCTGCAATCTATTCCCTAGAGATTTAGCATGTGTAGAAAAGAATATATGTGTAGAAAAATAAGATTTCATAAGAATGATAGAGCATGTGTATACATGATAATCTAGAATTCTATAAGCTCTTATGTTTATAAGTAAACTATGATTATAAAGCCCCATTTCTAAGACTGATTATTCAAGAATTTTATTAATGTCATAATAAATAAACCTCATTCCCAAGACTAAAACTTAGTATATAAACTATGTAGAAAAGTTATAGTCATTGTAGTTTTTTTGTTCTCCTTGATATCAACTTCCACCTTCATCCCCAAATTCTACCATCACTCCACCTTCACCTCCATATAACAATTTTCGTTCTGCTAAGAGCTCTAATGAAGTTGAACTAGAGCTCCCTATATATGAAATTCTAGATCATACTACTAGAGAGGGATTGCCTCCAGCAAGCTCCTTGGAAGTCTATATTGAAATGGCTCGAAGGAAAGTCATTACTACTTGTACTTGGGCCCCCAACATTTTTCAAGAGCAATGCCATATGTTTTTGCAAGATCTTGCTTCTGACATGGCAAGACTACTTGAAAGCATAGAACACTGTTACATTCGGTGTTCAATATGCTACTTTTTTTTGGACAAAACAAATGGCTATATAGGTTTACAAATTTTTCTTAAACACTATAGCAATTGCTCAACAACAGGTCTAGAAAATGTGCATATGTAGATGTATAATAAATTCAAGAATGAGTTACAAACACATACCCACTATTGCTTCATGGTGAGGAACAACATCCCTTTGGGAAACACTACATTGACTAATGCAAAATATGGGGTTTTTAGGCCACCCTACAGTGGAATATAAGATGTAAGATTACTTTACTATACTATAGTATTGTCACTTTTAAAAGAAAAATATAATAAAATGATATTAGTTAAAGGTAACTTACTTTGTTCTAGAAGGTGCTATCATTTCATATAAATTTGTTTACAAGATGTTGAAGGAGGAGATGGCAACACACAAGCGCTACAAAGTGATAGTGACATATGAGAATGATAATTTGCAATTATGATATCTGACACTGATATTGTCACTGACATCTGACACTTTTAGAGACATTTGACATATAACAAGCTTCTCATTTCATATAAGGATGCAATTAACTTTCTTCTACCTCATCATCAATATATTGATTTCTTTTATGTTTCCTTCTATATTGGTATTGTGGGGAAGATTCACCTTGCATTTGTTGAGCTATGGCTTCTGTATAATCAAGGAGACTTCCAAAGCCTTCAATTCTAGAAACTTCATGTGACTGTGATCTATAAAACAGAACTAAACATGTATTGAAATCTTAATAAACATAATTTATCTCGATGTTGGAGGCAACTCACAAAATCCTTTGAGCTAGCATTTAAAGAAATGATGTTCTTCAATAGCAAACACCAACCTACCAAAGTTATATACTACTTCCACCATAAAAGTACTACCTATTGTGCAATCAATCACAATACCATCTAGTGGGCAATAAAGCTTAAGAAAAACTTGCATCGCTGATGGAGTTTGAAATTGGTACCCTGGAAATGTGTTGTGGATATGCTCATCGACAAGGTTGGGAACCATAATGTTAGTGAAATTGTCATACCCAGGAAAAAGTCGTGCTGCACATTTGCTATCATGAAACCCATCATGTGTGTTTCTGCAGAAGGCATGGTAGGTCCACATCATAACCTAAAAAATAAGAAAGTTTAGAAATTAGATAAAAATATAAAATATGTACTCACCTTTTCAAGCTTCCCTTGGACGCCCCTAGTATCGACGCTAATAGGATCCATGATGCACCCGAAAAAGAATGACTTGAAATGAACTTCTGCTACACACATCATAAGCTTATACATTCAGTTGAGGTCGTTCAGTAGAATGAAAATAACATGGCTAGCTTTGAGCATAAGTGTTTTAGACAAGAGGAATGTATTGCGCATATGGTCAGGTGTGAAAAAGTTCTAATCCTCAACTTTTCCATTAATATCTAAAAGACCATCTGGAAAGTCGAAGAGAATGAAGTCTGCAACTAGGAGCAAAGGCCTTTGTATCTTTCGGCACCAATGATTGAACTAACACTATATATCCATGTTTATATTGTCTTCCATGAAAGATGTTAGCAATCTATTGTAAGAGCCAATGAAGACACCCACAATGCCTCGTTGTGTTATTGGGGAAATAAGACAAACTTATAAAAGAGCTAAGTGAATGAAAAAAGCAATGAATAATATGCTACTATCATATGGCATATTGTCAATGAGAGTTTCTCCAACTCCTCTTTCACGAGCATCTCGTCGAGCTAGAATGAAATTACTATTAATAGTCATTGCTGCAAAAAACATTACCACCTTTAGTTTGTAAAATTCACTTTGGCTTACCTTGAGGTCGACGTGATATTCTGTGAACCACTTGATCATCATTATTTATTGGTGGAACATTATCTAGATCTTGGCTATTTGATGGTTGAAATCAAGTAAATGCAAAACAAGTTTGAAAGAGTAAGAAAGGAATCGCTTGCCTATTCGCTGAAGTAGAGTTGTTGAAGATTTCTAGATGATCCCTACTCCACTGAAGACCCCCAGCTAAAAACAAAAACCATGGGCAGTGTGAAAGTTTAATAGAGAGAATGCCAAACTGTGTGATCCATTGTGCTGTTTGCTTTGGTTTGCTAACCAAAGTTGTTTGTATTGTATATTGGTTTCCACGTATACATAAATATTAATATTATATATTTAGAATTATAAACTGATATTCGGTTTGTAGAGCCATATTTATGTCATAAAAGTTCTTAGTGTTAGGAAAATTTCCCTCTCAATCTGTCTCTTTCAATTTGTTCATGGATTTAGGCTATAGTTGTGACAGTAACAGATATCATACTATGTATCTTCTATTGATGCAATTCATAATAGCCAACATATGAAATCAAGCTCAGTCTTTAATTTGTCATGTTTGGAATGCATCCTAAAACAATATTAGAGTTAGGATTGCATTTGAGCAAGGATGTTCAACACAAGTTTGATTTAAAGATAACTAATCAATTATAGAAGTTAATAAGATTTGAATGGTGTACACATTGAATTTATATATGGCTTAAGACAAGGCAAAGAAGTTTGCCAATAAGCATTATCAATTCTGGAAATAGAAAGTGGGAGATCTCATCTTTATGTGAATAATCTTTCTATCGAGTGAGTAGTAAAACACTTTGATGCCTTTGCAAAAGTGATAAATTTTTTTATAGATATATTGCTCTATATTAAGTGTTATAGTGCATTGATAAGATGGCTTATTGAATGCACAGAGGTATGATCTTCACTTTGTTCTTGCGCTTCTACTCACTTTGATGAAGCCAGTAGTTTGTAGACAAAAGTCTTTTTATATCACAGAGGTATGATCTTTTACTTTGTTCACTCACTTTGATGAAGCAAGGACTATAGTTTGTAGACAAAAGTTTTCTTATATCACAGAGGTATGATTTCTTCTTTGTTCACTCACTTTGATGAAGCAAGGACTATAGTTTATAGACAAAAGTTTTCTTATGTCACAGAGGTATGATCTTTACTTTGTTCTTGCGCATCTACTCACTTTGATGGCTGGCTGACCAATCCACGGACCACCGACGAAGCAATCGCGAGTGCCAGTAGCTCCGCCGCCACCACCGCCCCCGCCTGGACTGGCGGAGCGAAAATCGAGGAGGAATCCATGCTCGAGGCCGAGGCCGCGAGCGCCGCCTTGGCTTCCTCGGCCACCACCTTGGCTTCGCCGGCCACCACTTTGGCCTCGTTAGCCACCACCGCGGAGCTCTCCTTGACAATCTCTTTCACCTCCTTCTCCACTACCTGGACTTCCTCCTGGATGGCCTCCTTGACGGTCTTCCGGATTCCAAACAGGGGGATGTCTCTCGCCACCGCCGTCTCCGCGCGGAGGAAGGAGCCACCGGCGAGGATAGAGAGCGCAGCCGCGAGCCCAAATCCTCGGCGAGAGGATTTGGCTGGTGGAATTGCAGCGCTGCATCTGGATTGAGCTGCATTGCTTGGCCTACCTCGCCGTGACGATTGGATGTGAGGGGGATTCGCAGTGGACGAAGCGGCCGCGGCGCATGCCAAGCACGCCATAGCCACGAGAAAGCTTTTTTCTTTTCTTCTGGCGGGATGCCAAGCAAGCAAAATCCAGAATATGCCCTTCCGGATAAGAATATCCTCGCAGCGGGAGTTTTTGTTTAAATTCCACGCGAGGAGCGGGCGGATCGGCGAGGCGGAGGAGGCTTTCGATCGAGTGCCGCAGCGCAATGTTGCCGTGTGGAACATGATGATCCACGCGTGTGCTCAAAGCGATCAGCTCTTGGAGAGATCTTGGGAGGTTTTCCACCGGATGCCTCAACATGACACTGTGTCGTGGAACACGATGATCGCGGCTTTGTCCAAGGCTGGAAATGCGAGGGATGCCATCGCCCTCTTTGAGGGGATGTCTCAGCGCAGCGATTTGTCCTGGAATCTCGTCATCCAGACGTTTGCCTCCACTGGGAATTTGTCCAGTGCCAAGCTTGCGTTTGATTTGATGCCACAATGGTCAGTTGTGTCGTGGAACACTATTTTTCTTCTCTTTTCTTCTTCTTCTCAATCAGATAGGTTCTACGAATGTTTCTCTTCTATGCCGGAAAGAAACTCTATTACATGGAACACTCTACTAACAGCGTATGCCAACATCGGGCATTTTGATCTATGCGTACAAGTCTTTCACAAGATGCCGTTTTGGTCCTTGGGTGCTTCGACTGCAATGATCAAGTTGTATGGAGAATCATGTTTATTGGAAAGAGCAAAGTTACTGTTTGACAGAATCCCCGAGAAAGATATACCCTGCTGGACTGCAATCTTACAAGCATATGCCCTTCATGGGCATACCGACGTAGTAGAATCTCTGTTTCTTTTGATGCCGACCAAGGACGTCGTGGCCTGGGCTTGTCTGGTATCATCCTACGCACGCACACTAAACGTAGAGATCGCGTCTAAAATCTACCAAAAAACGCCGGCTTGGAACATCAGCTCTACCAATGCAGTTCTTTCAGTAAATGCCATGTCCGGGCATTTGGAGTATGCTAGATCTTTGTACGAGACAATGCCGCACAGGAGCGCGGCGTCTTGGGCGACGATGATCGAAGGCTACTTCCTCGCGAAAGACTTCCACCGAGCTTGGCATTTGATCTCTTTGCTTCCAGCAAAGAACCTCTGCCTAGAGACCGTGATAATCTCCGGACACGCCAAGCAAGGCCACCTCCACGAATCCAAGCTCGTCTTCGATTCCATCCCCGAGAAGAACGTCCTCTCCTGGAACGCTGTCATCGCCGCCTTCTCCCACAGGGGAGCCCTGCTAAAGGCCATGAACTTCTTCCAAGAGATGCTCCTTGAGGGAGTCGCTCCAATCGAGACCACCTTCACTGCCCTGCTCCACGGTTGCAGCCACGAAGGACGAATCGGCCAAGGCCAGGAGATCTTCTCTGCGATGATCCGAGCTCACGGCATCACCCCCCTCGTTGATCACTACAACTGCATGGTCGATGTTCTTGGGCGCTTGAAAAGACTCGAGGAAGCCGAGGAGCTCGTCCGCTCTATGCCGGTTCCTCTGAGCTCGGTCACCTGGACCACGCTTCTCAGCGCTTGCCGGCTCCACGGAGATGCCGAAAGAGGCAGCCGAGTCGCGGAGATACTGCTCCAGCTGAACTCTTGGAGGCCGGCAACGTATTCCTTGCTCTCCAATGTCCTAAGCTGTGATAGCTCTCCGGTCGATCACCAGTAGTCTCCGCAAGAACACGCTCCATTCTGGAACCTGTGAAACCTGTTGCAGTCCCTCACCACGATCTCCCGGTTGACAAGCTTGGAGATGAACTTCGAGGCAGTGTGGCAGTCGTTGCACACTCGCAGGTTCTTCACCACGCGAATCGGTGACCCTTCAGGGGTGGTGAGGAGAGCAAACGCCATCGCCAGCTTCTCGCTGTGATACCCGACCATGATCTCTTTCACCTCCTGTTTCACGTCGTGGAGGACCATCTCGGTGTCGGGGACGTAACCGGCCTCTTTCATCAGCTTTGTCAGTCGCTGGAGCTCGGCGTGTATCTCGCCTATCCGAGGATGGTCCAAGTCCCCCGAGATAAACTCGTGCACCCGGTCTTTCACTTCGATCCAGCTCCTCCCTGCTTCTTTCACGGTCATGAAGAGCTGCATTGCTTGCCTCATCCTTGCAACGTCGGACCATCTTCCAGCCTTCGCGTACATGTTGGACAGAAGCACGTACGGAGCTCGTTTCCTTGGATCCAGCTGAAACAAGTTCTCGGCAGCCCAGATTGCTCGGTCCATATTCCGGTAAGTTCTGCAAGCTCCCAAGAACGCCATCCATGCCACGGGATGTGGCTCAAACGGCATATGGAGCAGCAGATCCTCCGAGTCTACGATCCAGCCTGCTCGACCGAGAAGATCCACCATGCAGCCAAAGTGCTCGGCTTCGGGAAAAATCCCGTGGTCGCCGATGAAGGAAACGAAGTGCTTCCTGCCTTGATCTAGCATTCCGGCGTGGCTGCAAGCGAAGAGCACGCTCGTGAAAGTGATGATTGTCGGCTGGAGGCCCTCTAGCCGCATTCTCTCAAACAGCTCCAGTGCCTTCTCGGTTTGCCCGTGCTGGGCATTCGTCGCGATGAGCGAGTTCCACAGCACGAGATCCAAGTGAGCGATCTTGTCAAACATGTCCCCCGCTAGAGCCAAGTTCCCACACTTGCTATACATGTTGACGAGCGCAGTAAGAACGTAAACATCCGACTCCAATCCGCCTCCCAGCACCTGTGTCCTCTCGTGAATCCTTCTTCCTTGCTTTAGAGCCGCGATCGCAGCACAAGCATCCAGGACGCTCACAAACGTCGTAGAATTCGGTACCAGCCCCTCCAAGTCCATCCTGTGAAGCACCCGGATCGCGTCCCTGTTACGATCGTTGCGGGCATACGCTGCCGAGATAGCAGACCACGCCACCACATTCTTCTCAACAATCTGTCCAAACGCCTCCACAGCAGCCTCGATCCTGCCACACTTCCCATACAAATTCACCAGCGCAGTCCCGACCACCACTCCGGATTGGATCCCTTGCGCTTCTACTCGCTGATGCATCAAAGCGCCACTCCTCAAATCGCCCAACGACGCACAGGCATCCAGCCCGCTCACCAGCGTCACTTTGTTTGGAGCCACTCCATCGAGATCCATCTGGCGAAACAAACCCAGTGCCTCTCTAGGATGCCCATTCCGGGCATATGCTGCGACCATGGCGCTCCAAGCCACCACGTCCCTGTGGCTCATCCTCAAGAACACGCTGGCCGCATCCGTACAGTGGCCAAGCTTGCCGTACATGCTCACCAGCGCCGTCTGGACGATCGACTCCTCCTCGATGCCAGTGCCTAGGATCGCGAGCTGGATGGAGCGACCGATCGTAATCTCGCGGGCGTCCGTGCACGCCGAGAGGAAGATGCTGATCCCTACCTCGCCGGGATTGATCCCCTGGAGCAGCATCCCGCGGAAGAAGAGCCAGCAGCGATCGAAATCCCGATTCTCGGCGAACGCCACGAGCATCATCGTCCAGCTAAAGACGTTCTTGCTCTGGATGCCGTGGAACACCGCCAGCGCGTCGTCGAATCGATCGCACTTGGTGTAGAGATCGATAAGGAGATTGCACAGGAACCTGTTGTGGATCCAGCCGAGCTCCTCCATCTGGCGGTGGAGGCGCCGGCCGAGCTCCAGCGAGCGCGACCACGTACAGCGCCGGAGCAGCGCCTTGAAATCCTGCGATTGGGGAGAGAAGCGCTGCGATTCGAGCGATGCGATGGCGGATTCCAGCGGCATCGCGTCCAGATCGAGGTCTCCATCGTCGCATTCTTGCGCGGCGCTGCCCCAAAATCTCTTCCAGACCTTCTTTGTAAATAGCAGCGATGGTTTCTTTTTTACTAAAGGCAAATGCCTCATGGATTTTTCTCTAGGGTTAGGGGTTGGCCATAGCTCTTCTTGCTCGATCCAGGTGAGGCGCTCTCTCTTCTCAGCTAGGAAATTCCACTCCAAGGATGCTCTAGCGAGATTCTTGCGACAAGGATGATGGATCAGCTCTTCCCTCTCATGGACGACGAGATGGAGACCGTGTCGCTGGAAGCAGCGTCCACGGCGACACCGCTCCTCCGCGAATCGAGCTCGCAGGAATCGCCAGAGAATGGGGCGATGACACGCCGGAAAGAATCGTCCAGGAGCTTTCGGAGTCCATCCGGGAGGCCCGAGCTCCTGATCGAGCCTCCAAGCTACGCTGATGTGGTGTTCGCTCCATACGCCGCCAGGCAGCCGGAGGAATCCGGGAGGGCAGTGGAGAAGAACTATCTCCGGATTAGCGTCTCGGATCCACAGAAGACGCAGGATCACGGCAGCAGTGGCGGGACTTTCGTGGCGTATCTCTTCACGACCTACACCGATCTTCCGGAGTTCCTTGGCACGAGCTTTAGCGTCCGGAGGAGGTTCCGCGAGGTGGTGGCGCTGGCGGACCAGCTGGGAGAGATCTACAAAGGCTACTTCATCCCTCCCAGGCCGGACAAGAACGTCCAGCTCGTCCAGACGCAGGACTTTGTGAGCAATCGCGTCCACGAGCTCGAGAGATACTTCCTTCGTCTCGCGGCGCATCCAGTGCTGAGGAACAGCGTGGAGTTGAGGCAGTTCCTCTCGTCTCCAGGGAGGAATCCAATGCAAGCCTCCTCGGATGTTTCGTCGGTGATGTTTGATGGTGATGAGAGTGGTGCTACCGGGAATGGGAACAATCACGCGGTGGCGGAGCCTGGTAGAGGTGGCAGGGATCTCTTGAGAACTTTCAGGGAGCTGCGGCAGTATGTGGCCAACGATTGGGGTGGCAGCAAGCCGCTGGTGGTAGAGGAGGATAAGAAGTTTGTGGAACACAAGGAGAAGATCCAGGAGTTTGAGCGCGAGCTTGTTCTAGCTTCCGAGCAAGTAAGTTCTTCATGGTTCCTTTGTCTGGAAAAGCTTGATTGTTGCGTTCTTTCCAGGCAGAGCTGCTTACGAAGGCTCAAGAGAATATGGGAACCGTCATGGGTGACCTTGGGATGTCCTTGAGTAGACTTGGCCGGTTCGAGTGCGAGGATGCGGCCATTGTTGTTGGCAATGCCGCTGTGAAAGCGAGCAGGTGCTACACAGAATCCAGCACGCAGTGCATTAAGTATTTGGTAAGTACTTCTCGGTTTCGGTGCTCGAAAGTTTTAAACTTTCTCGTTCCAGCTTACCTTTCACGAATACCTTGCCTTGATGCAAGCTATTCACGGTGCTTTCGCTGAGCGATCGAAAGCACTACTGACGGTCCAAACTCTTAAATCCGACATATCGTCAATGCAAGCTCGCTATGAGAAGTTAACAGCGGCGTCTTTGAGAATTTTTGGTGGCGACAAACGTAAGATAGAGGAGACAAAAGCGGCCATTGCAAGCTCGGAAGAAGCTTGCGCATCCGCTCGAAAGGAGTACGATCGCATCAAAGTAAGAAAAAAACGCATTTTTACAGTTCATACAGCTAACTCTTGTTCGCAGGAACGGAACTGGGAAGAGATTGAGCGATACGACGTTAATCGACAGACAGATCTATTCGAGATGTTGAAAGGATTTGTACAGACGCAGGTAAGAAACAGAGCTTATTCTTCAATGCTTTTCGAGATCTGACACTCTTCCATGAAGGTGGGTTACGCGGAAAAACTCGGTAAAGCGTGGAGTGAAGTGTCGGAAAGCTTAAGCTCTGGGGAGGGCATGGCTAGTTCTATGTAAGTTATGAATTCTTGCAAGCACGTTTCTTTGTACAGGCAAGAGCTTGCTCTCTTGGCTCTCTTGAAGAAGAACACCAATCTCGGCAATGGTTGTAGAGATCCGGAATCATCAAAGTCCCGAGACACGCAGCGCAATTGACACAGACAGGCTAGCGGCAATAATCAAGTCCTGCGGGAACTTGCGAGACTTGGCACAGGGCAAGAGGATTGCTGCACAGATTCGCAGCGACGAGACATTATGCCGGAACAGATATCTCGCCAATCTCCTCATCGAGATGTATGGAAAGTGTGGCAGCCTGGAAGACGCTCGCCGGGTGTTCGACGCCATCGAGCGGCCGAATCGTTTCTCCTGGAGCATGATGGTGGCGGCTTATGCCCAGAATGGGTATATCAAGGAAGCCAAGTCCATCTCCAATGCTATGCCGGAACAGGACGTGGTTTGCTCGACTGCTATGCTGACTGCATATGCCCAGCACGGGCTTGTGGACGAGGCCAGGGCGCTGTTTGATACTATGCCGGTTCGCAACGTTGTTTCTTGGACTGCCATCGTCGCGGCCTATGCTCAGAACGGGCATCTTGAGGCAGCGAAGGCTCTCTTCGACAGGATGCCGGAACGCAACGTTGTTTCGTGGAACACCATGATGCAAGCTTACATCGAGAACGACGAGCTCAAGGAGGCGAGATCCTTGCTCGGCTGCATGCCGCAGTGGACTATCGCGACTTGGAACGCGATTGTCCAGGGGTATGTGAAGAGTAACATTCTCTCGGAGGCTAAAGTTCTCTTTGACAGGATGCCGGAGTATGACTTGCTCACTTTCACGTCAATGATCCACGGCTACTCCGAGAACGGGAACTTGGAGGCCGCGAAAAGCATCTTTGATCGAATGCCGGAGAGGGACGTGGTGTGCTGGAACAAGATGATAGCGGTGCATGCTCAGTGCTGGGATCTGGAAGGGGCCGAGAGGCTGTTCTTTGCAATGCCAGAACAGGACGTGATCTCCTGGACAACCATGCTCGAGGCCTACGTCCAAAACTTCCATTACCAGCACGCAGAGGCGATGTTCTACACGATCCCGGAGAGAAACATGGTGTCGTGGAACGTGATGATGGCCGCGAGCGCGCAGAACGGGCAGCTTCTTCGGGCCATGAAAACATTCGAGACGATGCCGGCTCGAGACTTGATATCGTGGAACACGATGGTGGCTGCGTTCTCCGGCTGTGGTCACGGCGAGGTGGCGTTTGAGATCTTCCGGGGGATGGAGCTGGATGGGATCAAGCCAAACTCGATCTCCTTCTCCTGCGTCTTCAACGCTTGCAGCCATGTCGGTCTGCTCGACGAAGGCCTCCAGTACTTTCGGCTCATGGCAAGCGACCACGAGATCTTTCCATCGAGGGAGCACTATTGCTGCTTGATCGACGCTGCCGGGAGGTCGGGACAGGTGAAAGTGGCGGAAGATCTACTCGCGAGGATGCCGTTCAAGCCGGATGCCATGGCGATGGGAGCGGTGCTCGGGGCTTGCAAGACGAACAGGGACAAGGACGCTCGCGACCGAGCGGCCAAGAACTTTTTCACGTCGGAGATGAGAAACCCGGGCATTTACGTGCTGCTAGCAAACGCTTACGTACACCAGCAGTGATGGAGCTAGGAACGATGACGGACAGAAGATCTTAGGCATTGAAGACTACACTCGAGTTGCTAAGTTCTTCACAGAGGAAGAACTTCTACTGGGGCTATAGCTGCTGGCAGGAGGATTTGGAAAAACTTTACAGTGTGAAGACGATGAGGACGAAGAGTAAATGGTGGCAAGCCAGACACAAGCAGCTCCACCGGACGGTTCCAAATCCAGGAGTGTTTGCGACGCTCCAGCTCCAAACTCGAGATCGTTGTGAGTCCGGCAAGCTCCCAGGAAGCACTTCCACTCGAAAGTATTCGGGACGAACGGCATGCTTTCCATGAGATCTCCAGCGCTGTCAAGGTAGCCGGCTCGTCCCAGGAGATTCACCATGCAGCAGTAGTGCTGCTTTCTCGGCTCCATTCCAAAGTCGAAGCTCATGGAGACGAAGCTCGATCGACCAGCGTAAGTTTTTCCGGCGTGAATGCAAGCTACCAACATGGCAACGAAGCCTCCTTCGTCAAACTCGACGCTTTCCACTGCCATGCTTGCGAAGATCTCGAAAGCCTCGGTGGTATGCCCGTTTTGAGCATAGCCGGTTAGCAGTGAGCTCCAGGAGATTATATCGCGATGAGGAGAATGGTAAAGGAGTTTCTTTGCTTGATCCAAAAGACCATTTTGTGATAGAACCGAGATCATCCCATTCCACGTTACTGAATTTCTCGAAAGCATGGTATCAAAAGTATGCTTCGCCTGGATAAAATACCCGTTTTGGGCATATGCTGTTAAGAGGGAGTTCCACGAAGAAAGGATATGCTGAGGCATGGTGTCAAAGATTCGCTTGGATTCCTCCATATGCCCGGCTTGAGCATACCCGGAGAGTAAGATGTTGTACGACACGGCGTCCTTGACGGGCATGGAATCAAACGAGTGCACGGCAGCCTCGATATGCCCGGCTTGGGCATATGCCGACTCTATTGCGTTCCACACAACCAAGTCCCTTTCCGGCAATGAATCAAAGCGCGCTTTTGCGGAAGAAAGATCACCGCTCTGGGCAATTGCAACCAGCGTCGCCGTGGAGCAAATGAGATTTTGCTGTGGCATCTCGTCCATGAGCAGCGTTGCTACTCCCAAATCTCCTCTCTGGGCTAGCGCGCAGACGAGAGCTGTGTAGGCGACGATGTCTCTCTCGGGCATGGCATCGAATATCACCCTCGCTTGCTCGAGATTCCCTACCCCAATGTAGGCTGCAATCAGAGCGTTCCACGACACTATGTCTGCCACGGGCATCTCATCAAACGCCTTTCTCACAGCTGGGATATTCCCGATCTGGGAATATGCCGACAGCATGCAGTTCCAAGATACCAGATCCCTTTGTGGCATCGCGGCAAAGATGCGCTCCCCTTGTGACAGATACCCATTCTGGGCATATGCCGTCAGCATCGTGTTCCATGTCACAAGATTCCTCGAATCTAAAGAAAGGAAAACACGTGTTGCTTCTCTGAGACGCCCATTTTGAGCGTACGACGCGATCATAGTGTTCCATGCTATCATGTCACGCTCCGGCATATTCTCAAACACAAGAACGGCATCATAGAGATGCCCGGATTGGGCATATGCAGAGAGCATTGCATTCCAAGAAACAAGGCTCCGCATCGGCATCTCGTCAAAAATCCGCTTAGATTCTCGGAGATTTCCCTGCGCGGCATACGCTGTTACTAAAGGATTTACGGCCGCGAGAACGAGGCAAGGCATCTGATCAAGTAGAACTTGTGCATCTTCAAGATGCCCGTTTTGAGCAAGTGCTGAAACCATGGTGCTCCAAGAGACACCATCCCTCATCGGCATTCTATCAAACAAATTTTGTGCTTTTCTAATCAAAAACCGCTGTGCGTAGGTAGTAAGCATCAGATTCCAGGACACAATGTTAGTTCTAGGCATTTGGAAAAAGAGATCTTCGGCTTCCTGTAAATGCCCATTGTGGGCATATGCAGAAACCATTGCGTTCCAGCATGCTTGATCTCTCTCGGGCATCGCGTCAAACGCCATCTTGGCTTCGGTCAGACGGCCGTTTCGGGAGTAGGCACAGAGAAGCATCGACCAGCTGAAGCAGTCCTTTCGTGCCAGGCCATCAAAGATCCGCCTAGCTTCCACCAGATTCCCCAGTTTACCATTTACCTCGATTTGCTGCATTTGTTTTTGAGTGAACTAAGAAACTTGCACAGAACTTCTCTAACTGCAAGAAGCAAACGAAATTTTTCTCCACCACTGACAATTTCAACTTTCATAGCCTGCTCGAGAGAGATGGAACTCGGGACCTCTCGCACCCTAACACCCTAAGCACTAGACCAAATGCCCGTCAACTTAATGTATCACTATGATTCGTACCTTTTACTCGTTTGTAAATCTCCCACATTTCAAGATCTACCTGGTTGAAATTTTGTCTCTTTCAATGTCAATCTCTCATTGTCAATCCCAGTTTTCGAGTTCTCATTTGCATTGCATTCTTTTTTTTGTCGTTTATAAAATTAAAATTCATCAAAAATTGTGCCGTGACATATTTGGTATATAAATTGGATTCTCAGTGGTACGTTGTATACTCGTAGTTCTTACAGTAAGGTGTTATTCGTTTTAGCTCTTGTTTGTGTGGGAATTGTGATAGTTGGCAAGCTGCTCGGAAAATTTGTTACACTCTTGACTTAGGTAACTATCCTAACAGCCAGTTCAGTAACTCAACGCCACCCATGGGTCAACTTTTGAAATTGAAGAAGCTAGATGTAGGAAGGGCAGAGGCTCAATCTGGGCGATTTTGCGTAGGAGGTGTGGTAGAAAAAATAAATTCTTAGAACCCTAAACTCAAAATTTTATATTGCTGAATGTTGCTCATAACAAGAGATTCCTAGAGCATTCAGAATCTTTACAAGAGCAAATAATTCTTTGGTTCCCTTGAGAGTTGCACCACTTGGGATTTTTTTCCTACTTAGTAATAGAGCAAGTGAGTTATTGGGAAAAGACAAAAATGGGTTTTATATTGTGGCGAATGGTAGGGAGTGTGAGGTAGAACCTAAGAGGAATGCTCACTCATATTCACAAGTTAACAAAATGCGTGGTAAGTTCTTCTTTCTCTTTCTTTTGTGCAAATGTAAACTTTAGATCCAATGCTTAATAATTTATGGGTAAAGGTCGGTGGGATGATTTGTGATTGGTTGCTCACATTAATGACGTTTTGCCAGTAAAATATATTTTAGACAACATTTTACTGCTACCAAATGATATAGCATGGGCTGCTCAAAGAGCTCCACAAATATAAAACAGAGCTTGAGAAGAACATATTGTAAACAGAAATGAGGAGGAACAGCCTATGCTTTAATTATTACTTATATGATTATTATAACCTTTTTGGACTAAAATTTTTGTTCAAGCTTTTACAAAGCCCATTGCTTCTTTTCTTCCTCAAGTTCTTTTTTATATTTGAGCCCACACTGGACAAGAATCAACTCCCTTTCCAGCCGTTGGACCTGTAATAAATACTAGTCAGAAATCAAAACTCTGATAGAGAGGGCAAGGAAGTACAGTTTCTTCCAGCGCCCTACTTGTAGCTGTGCATTCATGCTGAAAGGGAAAGTAAAAGTCAGTTTTAAAGGGGGTAAGTCTCTTGCTTTAGCTCCCTCAGCTGATGAATCTGTTCCTTGGCTTCACAATCATCCTTCAGTGTTGTTACTGCTACTGCAGTGATAGTGTCTGTTGACTGAGCATCCTTTGATTTAGATGTCGATGGGATCTGTTTTGGAGACTTGATTTCCTTCACTTTGAAGTGACCTGCATATTATTATCATCATGATGCTCATAAAATTTGCAGCATGCACCTGGCTTCCAATGTCCACTTCATCAACAGCAATAGAAGGACCAGGATCCAAAGTATCTGGCATCGTTTGAGCGATGCTGGAACCGTTGCAATCTCTAGCTTTGTACAGCGATTCTGCCTCAGGGTATTGATCATGACAACGGTGTCATTGTCTGCATTCTGGTCTGGAAATCTGCAGGCATGCACTCAAATCTTTACTTATTATGCTGATTGCCACTACCTCCGCTCCTCCCAGCTCCTCTTTTCCTAAACTCGCAAGCATAACCTGGGATCGGCATTGTGCTCTTCCTTCTCCTCCATCCCCATGCGATCCCCATAGAACAGACTACTATAATGCAAAATGTTATAGACTATAAGAATTCAAAATGCTGCTACTATTAAGTTTTCTTCAAATTTGGAATTTATTCTAAACGATACTAATTCATGGATTTCTGCCCAACTAGAGTCTATTTTTGGTGTATCTACTACTTTGTGGGCTGAACTTTATGGGCTGCCAGATTTGGCCAATTGGTGTCATTAAATGCGGGGTAATTCAGTAAATATCATTTTCTTACCGCATTAGTGGTGGCACTCTAAGAAGGTGTCAAGCCTATGATCTAATATGTCAGACTGAAGAAAACTATAGCTGAAAAGGATGGCATAGTCCTTGGATTGCCGGTAAAAAGAGGTGCCATGTGTCCATTAAGTGCTGGAGTAGGAGAAAGTGGCTTTGGCTTCTGTGGCCTCACCTAAGAATCCATTTAGGTGCCTTAAGTGAAAGTTCACTTGGTTAGAAGAAAGTCACTCCAGAAAAGCTAGCATCGGTAAATGGTCGGAATGATATGTTGAAAATGGTATGTCCAAATGAAGGGATGTCTTCTACTTTGGTGTGTGTATGTATGTCCCTAGTATGGTGTAAATATGACCTCAAACAAAGATGTGGATGATGGTGAAAGAATAAAAAATGCAAAACAAGCATCTAGAGATAAGTGCGGGCAATATTGCTAAGAGTGATTGGTGATGGATCAGTAAGTGTAGATGATATGGAATGGGTGTAGGGAATGTGTGGGGTAGAGTAATGGTGAGGCAAGGGCCAAAGAACCTAGAATATAGACCGAGCCAAGTGAAAAACCTCCATACAAACGGCAATGTAGCTTGAGCATGAAATCCAAGCAAGTGCCATGGTCCAGTGGAGAAACACCCTCTAGAAATAGGAAAAGAAATTGTGAAAGTAAAGTGAAAGAAAGGAAGTAAATGAAAAAGAAGAGAAAAGGAATGCCTCACTAGATGAAGCATTCGTGGTGAGAGTGGTTATGAGTGTGTGGGAGCTCATGTCCATAAGCATCAACTAACATATATACTCCACCTTTAATGTGTTGCTGGACAAAGTAGGGGTTAGTCTAGCAAAGAGAGAACTTTGAAGGTGGCAAAGGAGAGAACATTGTTGTTGAACTTGGGGCCTTTGTCCTTTGCTTTCTGACTATTCCAACACCTAAGAAGGTTGGCAGATCACTCCCTTTTTGCAAAACATGGAGTTGGGGTCGAGCTAAAGGTGGTTGTGCCATAGTTTATAGATCTAAGTCATTGAAATCTGCCAAGGATGAAGAAGATTTGGCTTGAGAAGGTGTTGTGTTGTACCTAAGCTACCTTTGGATGCCAAAAAGTTTACTCTATACTGTAAGCCACAAATTTTTCCGGCGTCCCGAAGCAAGTATTGCACTCAAGACTTGGGATTTAGAGGGTCCCATGATCAAGTCTTGTGGTACCAAAGGATGTTAGGAACCTGGAAGCTTGGTGTGCTTGGCTGCTTGTGCTTGTGGGGAGTGTAGCCGAACCTTAAGTCCAGTCTAACCTGAGGAGGGGGATTGGGAGTGATTTGGGAATCCGTGGATGGATGGCTAACACTCCGTTACTCGTGCAGTGAGTAGCTGAGACCAAGTAGGAGCTGGTACCATAGGCGAGAACCTTGGCAAGGGAACTTAGCAAAAGCCAAGGCGGTGTTGGACGGATAGACGAGGTAAGCTGGCAAATTGGAAAGGAAAAATTTGTGGCTTACATATACTTTATGGCTTTGAGGTATGGTAAAAGTGTGCCAATTTGCCACATGCCAAGTCTGTACCGACATCAAATACCGTGGATATTGCAAAGGTTGGATTGACAGGAACAATAAGGCTGTAGGCGTCTCTAAAGCACAAAAAGAAGAGCCCTTGGCCAAAATAAATGGCTTAGAACCCTTTACCTTGTCCACAAGTTGCTCAAAATTATCCAAAATGCCCGTGATAAAGGGAAATAAGGTTGAAAATGGAAAGAAACGTAGGCCTCAAGCATATATAACTGTTGACCCCTTAGGGGTAGAGTAACCGTTGACCTTTTGTGGTAACTGATAATTAGTAACCAATAACTAGTAACCGTTGTGACCATCCCGTTGACCAGAGTTGACTAACAGTTTGGGCAAAAAGATTTGAGCTTTAGTGATAGCATCAGTTAATGTTGCTAGAAAATCCTTCTTGACCTTTTGCTACACATTCATTGAGCTCAAACCTTTAATAAAATATTGCACCTTTAGTAGCTCATTATACATGCCTGTAAGACTAAGACAAAGATCACAAAACTTGCGAGTATATGCATCTAAAGACAAAGTCCTCTGTCGGATCTCTAACAGCTAATTCACGAGATTAACCTCTTCAAACTTTTTGACAAACAAAGTGTGGAAAGTTTTTGTCAAGTCAATTTAAGAAGTCAACTTCAGATTAGCTTTGATATAGTTCTTCCACCATGAAGAAGCATGGCCTGTAAGCTCCATCACAAAAAATCATTTTTCACCTTATCTTCACAAGGATTGTGAGATTAACAACTTTCCCACAATTCCAACCAAGAATTAACCTCTTGGCTATCACAGATATCTAGTGATGACTTCCATTCCATAATATCATAGTCTTTGGCATGACATACTAATGGTAATCACGGACATGAGATTGATTCAACCTTTGAGGGTCCACGCGAAGCAAGAAATCTTTAATGAGATTAATGCTATTCGACATAGACATACATAATCCAGCTACAATGATAATATTGAAGACACTAACTAGCACCAATATACATATAGCTTTTACAACAGTAATATTCAAGAGACTATAGAGTATCGACATCAAACAAATCTTAATAATTCCTCATTGAGTATTAATTACACTAAACAGCAGTCAATTTCCAATTCCCATTTGCCCCCTTCACCTCTGTAGCGCATGTGGTTTTGACCCTTTATCCTATAGTGGTTTACCATAGGATAACACCACGAAGCGGAACCTAAACCCTCTTTATGCCATGTGACACATGCCACATGTCATATGCC